CCTTGCTAAGGACCAACTTCCTTGTGGGACCACCTTGGCAAGGACCAGCTTTGAGGGACCCCCTTGCCAAGCCCCAACTTCGAGGGACCACCTTGCTAAGGACCAACTTCCTTGTGGGACCACCTTGGCAAGGACCAGCTTTGAGGGACCACCTTGCCAAGCCCCAACTTCGAGGGACCACCTTGCTAAGGACCAACTTCCTTGTGGGACCACCTTGGCAAGGACCAGCTTTGAGGGACCACCTTGCCAAGCCCCAACTTCGAGGGACCACCTTGCTAAGGACCAGCTTTGAGGGACCACCTTGGCAACTTCTTTGAGGGACCAGATTAATAAAGACCAACTTTGAGGGACCACCTTGGCAACTTCTTCGAGGGACCAGGTTAATAAAGACCAGCTTTGAGGGGTCACCTCGCCAAGGACCGAATCCTTTGAAGTACCAGGTTAGTAAACACCAGCTTGGAGGGACCACCCAACCAAGGACCTCCTCCGTTGAGAGACACGCGGCCCCGAGGACGTTCCCGGCGGGCGTTACCTGGGACGGGTGCAGGTAGGGCTCGGGGGAGGCCAGGTTGGTCTGGACGGAGACGCTCTTCTCCAGCAGGATCTGGGGGAAGCCCAGCTTCTCGAAGGTGTTCCTCTTCCAGTGCTTGTTCTCCTGCTGCGCCAGCGCCTCGTCCTCGCTGAAGGCCCTCACCACCGGGCCCGGCATGGGCAGGGGGAGGGCGCCGTCGCTCTCGTAGCCGGATCCGTCCTTTTGGGAATCCCAACTGCTCCTCTGCTTCATGTGGTAATGGGCCTGCTGCGCCTCCCACGCCAGGCGGGCCTGCGCCAGGAAGGGCTCCGGGAAGCCCCGTCCCGCCTCCGCCTCGGCCGCCTTGCTCTCCGTCCGGTTCATGGGCGAGCGGTTGGGCCCCGGGGCGGCTCGTTCGTCCCCCGGCAGCTGCTCCCCCAGCACCTCCCTCTCCCCGGAGCCGTCCGCGGCCGAGGCGTTGGGCTCGTGGGCCACCGAAGGCTTCCGGCTTTTCCTCTTCCTGGTGGAGGGCGAGTAGCCGGTGGAGGACAAGGTGTCCTGCTGGCTGGACCACGACATGGAGTCCTCGCCCGGGGCCGCTGGGCCGGGGCAGAAGTCGGGCCCTTCCATGCTGCTGTAATCGCCGGATTTGACGTCCAGGCGCTGGTCCCGCACCAGGCAGGGGCTGTGCTGCAGCGAGTAGGAGCCCCCGATGGGGTTGGGGGAGTATTTGTGCCTCAGGCCCGTCTTCATCTTGGGGCTGGAGCCCGACTGCTCCACGTAGACGAGCTGGCGCACGTACTCCTTGCCGGCGGGGCTGTACTCCAGGCTCATGAAGCGGTCGGGGCACTTCTGCTTGGTGAGCACCAGCTGCTGGTAGGGCGAGTTGGAGCCTTGCTTGGGCGACTGCAGGAAGGGGTGCGGCTTCCGCACCGGCGACTTCTGGGGCGAGCCGGCCTTGTAGCCGCCGCCGCCGGCCTCGTACTGCATGTCCACGGGGGGCTCGTCGTAGATGGGGGCCTGGTACTCCATGGGGGGCTCCTCGTAGAGCGGCGGCTCGTAGGCGTAGCGCGGCGACGACGGCTGCGACTCGGCCGAGTGCTTGCGGTGCTGCTGCGCCTGCAGCGGGGAGCAGAAGGGGTCCCCCCGGCCCAGCAGCGGGGAGCAGCTCCCGGAGAGCTCGGCCCTCTTCAGGAAGGGCGACGCTTTCCTCTCCGGGAAGAACACGGAGCCGTCGGCGTCCGAGGAGGAGAAGGTCTGCAGGCTGGGGGACTGCTGCCCGCCGGAGGGGCGGCGGGAGCGCGGCCCCGCCTGGGATTCGGGGGCGAAGCCGTTGCCCTGGTGCAGGAGGAAGCTCGGCTCCCGGTCCGTCACCTTGATCAGCATCCGCTCCTTGGTGCCCGCGTTCCATCGCAGGGACGACGTCCTGCGGGGGGGGGGGGAACGCCACAGCGGGGTCAGAATTCCCTGGATTCCCGTTCCTGAACCTTCCCAGACCACGGAAGAACCCAAAGGGTGGACGTTCCCGAGCAACCCGAGCCTCTCCCATCAGGGGTCTCAATGACGGAGACACGAGGGCGCCGCCACCATCCCAAAATTGGTGGCACCATCCCACAGACCCCAGGAATTCCCACAGGATGCCCAGGCTGGAAAGCCAAGCCCCCCTTTGGGATGGAAAACACCACAGCGGGGTCAGAATTCCCTGGATTCCTGCTCTTGAACCTCCCAGACCACGGAAGAACCCAAAGGGTGGACGTTCCCAACCACCCCAAGAGTGAAGAGGATGCCGGTGATGGAGACACGATGTCACTGCCACCATCCCAAAACCATCCCACGGCACTTCCCGGCCCCTCCAGACCCCAGGAATTCCCGCAGGATGCCCAGGTTGGAAAGCCAAGCCCCGTCGAGCAATGACACCCCCTTGGACACCCCTTGGACACCTCTGGAGGTGCCAGCCCTCAATGTCCCCTCCCCGCTCGTGTCTCGGAGCTCTCGGAGCCAACGGACAGAAATTTGGGACAATTCCACGGGGATCTGGACAGGCGGGAACTGATCCCACCACGGTTCCCACCCGGGATTTCCCGCCTTGTGCCCAACTCCATCTCTCCCATTTCTTGCTCTCCCGTTCCTCACCCCCTCCATCCAGCCCCTTCCCGGGGTTTATCCCCCCCTCCACATCCCAGAGAGCTGGGAATGTCCAGCCTGGAGAAGGGAAGGATCCAGGGAGACCTTGGAGCTCCTTCCAGTTCCTAAAGGGGCTCCGGGAGAGCTGGAGAGGGACTGGGGACAACGGATGGAGGGACAGGACACAGGGAATGGCTTCCCAGGGTTAGGTGGGATAGTGGGAAGGAATTCCTGGCTGGGAGGGGCTGGGATGGAATTCCCAGAGGAGCTGTGGCTGCCCCTGGATCCCTGGGAGTGTCCCAGGGCAGGTTGGATCCCGCTGGGATGGTGGGAATGCTGGAGGATGGACCGGGAGGATCCTCCAGGTCCCTTCCAACCCCAACCATTCCAAGGCCGGGTGGGACGGAATTCCCGGCGCAGCCGGAAGTGGGGGTTGGATAAACGGGCTCGTTCATTCCCGAGATGCCGAGGCCGGAGCCAGAAACGGGGAAGCCACAACCCCAGGGAGGAATCCGCGTTCCCCCCACGTGGAATTCAACCCCCTCCCAAGTCCAGGGGTTCAATTCCCGGATTTGCCGCTTCCGTTGATATTCCAGCAGCGTCCGGCAGCAGCGGCCGGGGATAAAAATCCCTCCTGCCCACCCCGGGAGCAGCAAATCCGCTCATCCAGGCCCAGTTTTCAACCCCAAACATTAAATAACAGGGAACAACATTCCTGAAAAGCTCCGGA